TAATGTGAAATTATGCTCAATTTTTCCCAGATCCAAATTGGAATTACAACTAAATTATAGAACAACTAGTGGCCCAGTGCATGAAATTCATGAATTGGGGTGTCTCTCAGCCCGGCCTGCACCCGCTCCAATCTGGGGCCCCCTTGGGCGCTGTCCAACTGCCGGTTTAGGCCCAATCCCTGAGGGGTCCCAGATTGGAGAGGGTGCAGGCTGGGCTGAGGAGACCCCCCTGACCCATGCACAAATTTCATGCACTGGGTCTCTGGTTTACTATAAAAGAACTACTTACTATTAAAACAAAAATGCAGACTTCATATGGGCTAGGTTTTTAGCTATTTCAATTGTAAGAAAAAAATTAAAAAGAATTAGATACTATTATGGTTACTTTTATAAGTCAACTTGGCTGCACTACAGTGTCTAAATATTTGGTCAAATATTATTCTATACTTTTTTATAATGGTGTTTTTTGAATGAGATTAACATTTAAATTGGTAGACTTTGACTAAAGCAGATTACCCTTCATAATGGAGATGGATTTCACCTAATCAGTTGAAGGCCTTAATAGAACAAAGACTGACCTCCCCAAAGCAAGAAGAATTCTGCCAGCTATCTGCCTTTGGACTTGAACAACAGCTCTTCCCTGGGTCTTCAAACTGCTAGCCTACTTTACAGATTTTGGACTTATCAAGCTTCCCCAATGGTATGAGCTGATTCATTAAAATAAATCTCTCATTTTATATGTGTATATCTTGTTAGCTCTGTTTCTCTGGAGAACCCTGACTAAAACAGATACATAGATTGTTTTAAAGTATAATATTGAAAGGAAGAAAGATAAATGTTTATGTCTTAGCTTATATTCACTTCCTACTCTTCTCATTAAGAGGAATGACACCCCATCTAAGACTGGTGAACAAATAGTGATTAGAGTGAATGGAAGTCCAAGGGAAAGGGAATTCAATTATTAAGACAATATTAAGGCCCTGGCCAAGTGACTCAGTTGTTTGGAGCATCGTATGGTACACCAAAAGGTTTCAGGTTCAATTCATAGTCAGGGCACATACCTAGGTTGTGGATTTGATCCCTGTGGAGTGCACGTGGGAGGCAACCTATCAATGTTTCTCTCTCACACTGATGTTTTTCTCTCTCTTTCTTTTCCTTTCTCTCTCTAAAAATCAATAAAAAACGTATCTTCGGGTGAGGATTTAAAAGAACAACAACAACAACAATACCCAGTTGTTCTAAATGGGTTTAGGACTACTCATGGTATTAATTTTAACTTGATGGGGTAGACATCAGAAGTATGTATGGATGATATAAAGCTGGTTGGGGCAGTTAACATTCTAAACTGTAGTACCAACATCCATAAAATCTCGAGAGGCTGGAGCTATATAAGATTAAAGTTTAATAAAAAGGGTAAATATAAGACTCTGTCCCATTTCTAAAAGAATC